CTCTCAGTAGGCGTAATAGCGTCCCTTCTGGACGTTGACCCACGACTAGAGTTTTCCCGAAAAGTGCATTCGACTCGAGGCACGCGTCCTTCCAGCGTGAACCCGAGATACCATAGAGATCTTGTTATGTCTTCCTTTACCCCCTCCCTCGGATAGCCTTTCCTTCGCTATCCGTCGAACCAATGTACCTAAATTCCGGGGTCCTGACGTAACAGTTATTATAAAAACAATTTACGTAAACTTTGATAAAACACTTTATAGTTCATAAATTCATAAATTATAATGTTATTAACGATTTTTTTTCCATTACATATAACGTCCATTATATAACGGAAAAAACGTTCAAGAAACGTATATAAAACTAATATGTGCTACCTGGGAATTACTTTAAAGAGGGGCGTCGAATAAGATTCCGATTACACCTTCCACAGAAGATATAAAAAATTAAGAGGGGATTGTTACAACAACCATAAATAGAAGCAATAAATGAACGGCGTACTCAGTCCACCGTACTACCATTCATTGAAGAGGATTTGAGTAGAGATCGTGAGTAGAGATCGAAACCAGTTTTAAAATTTGAACTAATTTATAAGTATAATTTCTTTTAATATAAAATTCGATTAATTGCATCTACAACCGTACCTCAGACTCGATTGAACAATTTTTAATTAAATATAGTAATATCTTATTTCCTATAACTTTTGCCTATTTCCAAAAATTTGACAAAAAGTGAAAACTCAACTTTATTTGTAAGGAAGTCTTAAAAAATGTAACGAAAGTTCCTTAAGGGGAATGATAAGGTTTAAACGGCCAAAAATTGGGTAAAATTCAAATGTCGTTTGTGGATAAACAAATAAACTACATAAATTTTCTTTTGAAGCATGTTAGTGCTTTCTTCACAAAATAAACAAAAAGTCCCAAGAATATAAATAATTAAAGGTGATATTGATGATTGAAGGCGACCAAGCGATTTGCGAACACTGCTCTGTTCTTGCTACGATTCCTGATGAACGAGCTGGAATTTTTCTATTTTTTTGTTGGTGAGATTCTGGCAAAGCTCTTGATAAAAAAACGGGAAGATTGGATGCAGATCCGCGTATCCCTTATGGACGAAGCTGCTAAACCCTCGTCCGCCTATTTAATTGAATAAACAAACCGCAGTCGGTTCGTCGCGTTTGCTTTGGGAGTGCCGTTCAAATAATCGGACTCAAGTAAAGGACTTTTTCAAAGCCAATTTGAAGAATATTGCGGCGTACTCGCACACTTTCTGCCCATTTATTGCAGCAATAAAATAATCGTCGATTTTTTTCTGAATTTTCAAGATTCCGGACAAATTTTGGCCAAAAAAATATTATCTAGCAGCATCCCTAGCTTGCCAATTTCCAGCCCATAGGCTCAAAAACAAGAGGAAGCAATGTTCGGTATGCGGCAAACGATCGCGAATGTGACATACGCATTTCTTTTTAGACCAGACCAATACCAGCAAATGACCTCGACACAAATCACTATTAACCAGAATATCGTTGACGATATTTTGCTTATCGAAAACCAAGGAAATAACCCTAGAACTTGTGACGTGACAAGTCGCGTCTCCTTCCCGGACGGGCTCGGCCGAG